CTATGTTAAAAATTCTAACGTACTGCCCCTTATTTATGTTTCCGCCCTTTAGCTCTCTCTCTCTCTCTCTCTTCCTCTCTCTAACCCCTCGTTCTGTTCCGAACTCTCCGGCTCTTTCACGTCTCGTTTTATGTCCAAAAAAATTTCGAAAAAATGTCACATCCTCGTGAAGGCGGAGGCAAGGGATTCATAATTCCCCCAGTAATTTTTTTTTCTTCGTAAATGATTTTTAATTTTTTTTTAAAAAAACGGTCCTCTGTCCGGCCGAGAATGCCGGTAGGCATCGAGGGTGTTCGACCACCGATCTTAGACGACAACGGAGCGACCAGTAACTAGGGTTCGGTCGCGCCGAATGCGTCCGGCAATCGCCACCAAACACCCCCTAGCGTACCGGCAATCACCCCCTATCTCGGAAGAACCCAAAGTGCAGATGTGATTCCACCAGTACCTGAAAGAAGCTGCCGAGGGCAAACCATCCCATCTAACTGGGGAAATTTCTCATACTCTAACTGCTTTTGGACAATGAAATAAAATGTGTTCCACTGTTTCAAGAACTTCACTACAGCTTTGACAAATAGCATCGACATTTATTCCCCTTAGATTAGTTTTAACATGTAGAGAACCAGTGATACATTTCCAGACATAGTGTTGAACCTTTGCAAGAATTTTTAGTTTCCAGAATCTATATTTTGCAGAGGTTAAGTTGTGACCTGTACTGGTGCTGCTGCAAGGTAAGTCCAAGGTGATGAGTTTTTGCTTTGACAGAAATGAATATGTACTAGCCACAGAAAATTCTCCCCTTCTGTCAAGTTTCCAATATTGCCTATCTAGTTTACCTGGGTTAAGAGTGCAGCTCTTGAGAATGGCCTTACTTTCTGTCTCATTGAAAAGTTGCTTAACCAGCTAGTCATTCCATCCCTTCCCTATTTCATTGAGTAGTTCTTTAACCAATATAATATAACCCCAGGCTATCTCAAGAAGAGAGGGCTTTGAATTCAGCAAAGATGGCACCTAATTCACATCATCCAATTTGGTTGATTCACCATTCCTAATCTCCACTGCATATCCTTTAGCAAAGACAGGGAATACCTCTAGCCCATTTGACCAGAGCCAATAGCATATTTGTGTTTTAGCTGAATCAAAGATGGAACAGTCTGGGAAATATCTATCCTTCAAAATCATGCTTACTAACAGTTGGGGTTGAGTTGTGATTCGCCAAGCTATTTGCGAATGAGAGCAGTGTTGAAATTTTTGATATCAATGAAGCCGAGGCCACCTTCCTTTTTTGGTAAAGTAAGGAAACTCCAAGCCTTCCAGTATACGGCTCGAGTTTGGTCATCACCTTTACTCCATTGGAAATGACAACAAAGTTTGGAGATTTCAGCACATATAGTAGCAGGAAGTCTGAAGCATGACATGGATAAGACCGGTAATGATTGAATAACAGCCTTAAGAAGAACTTCTTTGCCAACCTGAGTAAGCTAATAATATAGTTTAGGAGGCCGATTCTTAGCCACAAACTGCCGCACGATCGGTCGCGGTGGCCTCCGCCGTAGATTTCATGGCGATGTTCCAAAACCCCGAATTCCTGAAAGGGATGGAATGTCTCGTGCCACAAATCATGTCGTCGGTGTCGTATGCACCGCCACCCCCACCGACGCTAGATCTACTTAAAATACTAGCAAAAAAGACATGAATTCTGTCGGAGACAAAGGCAAAAGACAGTTGCTGTCTAGAGCCATAATCACTCTCCCGGAAGAGGCAATGGAGACCCGAAAAAAAATAACTATGCATTCGACGCGAACGGAACAAACCGGTGAAAGTCGGTCTGTGACGAGATGTGAGGAGAAGTCCATAAACCAGTCAGTCTTTAGCCGTCTCAAGGACAAAGAGGTCAAAAGACTTCTCCGACAAAAAATCTCAACGAATCAATCTGTCAAGCATGATTCGGATAAATTCGCGATTCTCGGGAAAAGGATAGCCGAGCTGGAGGCTCGTCAACAACCCAGAGGCAGGATATCACCACCACCCTTGTTATTTTCCAACGATCGAGTAATCGACTCAGCATCGCTGGTGTTGCCTAACATACTGCACAACCCGTTGCCCGGTAAAATTAGGATACCCCAGATCAGATTGTATGACAGGAGCTCGGACCCCGACTCACACATCGGCTTGTACGTATTGTGGATTGACCTTCACG